GTTCGCAGGAGAGAACAACTCGTTCTGGAGTGCTCGAGGCTCGCGCTCAGACCTCTGAAAAGCTCCGCTATCCATCCGCAGTTTCCCAACGTCTCCATGGCGACTGATCCCATGATCCTCCCGCTGTGCGGGCAGGGGACAGAGAGCGCTGACGACAAACCAAAAGGACAAAACCCACCCGGAATAGGTCTTGTGGTGGTGGCGTTGTTGGCGGTGCTGCTGCTGGTGGGCGCCCGCCAGCCAGCCGAGAATGTCGTAGACTCTCCATTGTAGCAAAACAGTTTCAGGGGACGGCCGAGGGATGCCGAGAGAAAAATTCTTTCGGGAACGGAGTGAATTCGAGGTTATGGTCGCTTTCGACTCGGAATATTTACAGAATTAGCGTTCATATTCAGCAGCTCACCAAATCGGGACGAGTATTTCGTCGGACTTGCAGTCACGATTCCTGATCAGAATTTCCGTGCTCCGAGCCGCCTCGCTCACGAATACACGAGTCGAGGTGTCGTCGGCCTTCTGTGACCCGAGAGCTCAGCTCCGCAGTGCCTCTGCTGAAGCCCCATACTTGGGGTGCAATAGCAATCGGCTCGATGATGAAATTAAGTCTGTTGCTGAAGTAATAGTCGTCCCTCGCTCGCTCAGATTGAGAACACATCAAAGTGTGAGAACATCGCGCATCCGATGGGGAGGACTGAACCCGTTGATCCCAACAAGGGAATTCCGACGACACGTTCCGTGAGCGTTCAAGAACTCAGGGCACAAGGCCGGTGTTAGAACCAGAGGTTTCGAGCAGAAATTTCAAGAGTTCGGAATGATGCAGAAACCTTCAGTCTGATAACCCTTCCAGAAGGCTAGAGCAATTATCAGGCGGCGGAAATAATGGCGATCGCGTGGTGTAGCTCGGGAGCGCATTTGATGTCCGCTTTTTATTTCTTTCTCCACTCGTAGTCACGAAAACTCTGTCAGAAAAATAGGATCATTTTGAGCAGCAGTGTTTGCACGCGCGTGAAGTTTGACGAGTTCTCGACTAATTAAATATTTGCGTAAAAGGAGATGAAGAGCCTCCGAAAGAGTTCTGTGACTCGCCACCATGAAGTTCGCCGAGCGGCATCTCATCGAGAGCCGAATTTTACATCTTCCCGGCCGTTCGAATTTAGGGCGAGATCGGACTTTAGTAAAATTCTGTGCTGGACCCCATTGGGAGATGTTCGAAGGAAATGAGGTGGATTTCCTCCATGGGGCTCGCGAGACTCGGAAGAATGCGTCGAGCGGTCCCTTCAGATTCCTCTGAAGATCGAATGACGACGAACGCTTTACGCTAAGGAGCTTAAAGTCAAACCTTCCTGCGTAACGTTGGGAGTGTCCCCGTCAAGAATGACAAAACATTTACGGTGCTCTTGTGCGGCTGCCGAAGAAGCCATTGAGGTGTCTGAAGATCTCAAACGATGACTCTTGCGGACAATGGCCTGCTGCCTCGGTGCCTGCCTCACTTCTAAAGGGCTGTTTGCCAGCCTGTCTACCTTCCGCTTAGTGGAAAGTCAACATTCTACATTGTTTACACACGACTTGATGGGTGCAGTAACAGCGCATGGACGCAGTGAAAGAGTGGTGACAGCCGGGATTCCTCTCGTGAGCCACGAACGTAGCAAGCCTCTCGTCTGAGATTTCTACCTCGGAGTCGATTTTCTGGTTGAATCCTGGAACGAGGAACGTTCGGCGACCACATCCACTCGACGATACGTCCCGGAGGAGCTCCCGTCTGAAGCAAGTCGAGGATAGCGAGAGAATCGTCGCTCAGCATCGCGAGGCAACGCAACGACGATCTGGAAACGTCACCTTCCTCTTGCGGTAGTTCTGCGACAAGCCTTCCTCCGAGTGGATGACGCTCATTGATTCTTTCGGACTTTCATCCGTTCGTCCGGTCGGTCAGTGGAGGAAACGCTTAGTAACGCCTCGATGTGGATACATAGATGCAGCAATATCATCGAGCGACGTCAGCGGCAGGCCGCTCGACGGCTCCAGCCAGTCAGTCGTCAGTCAGTCAGCGCGCGATTCGGCTTTGGTGTTATGGGGCACTCCTCTGCTGTGTCGCTCGCTCGTTCGTTCGCTCGCTTGCTCGTCCATTCTACCCTCCCAAAACGTTAACCTCAACTTCCCATTAAGTGCTTGTCCGAAAGTCTGTCTGCGTTTCTTTCAGTCGTCTTTCTCCGAGCGGTGCGCACTGAAAGCTCGTCGCCATGGTTGTTGTTTCTGTTCGCTTGCTCGTTCTTCTGCCCGCGTCTCGTTGCAGGAATTTTCAGCTCATTCGACCACCGACTCGGCTTCCTCCGGCGTCGATTGCCACCTGCATGGCTGTTTCGATGTTCCACGCAGAGGGTTTGATCAGCTCACGGGTTTCGTCTCGGCCTTGTCCGCGACGCCCGCGCCTTACCAATATCCACCTCAGTCTATCTCACTCGAGTTCGGAGCTGAAGTCGAATTCGACGATCGCTCGCTCGCTCTCCGAGTTCGTACGATCGCGAGTTCGGTCTGAATTCGATGGAAATCCACCGTCGATGACTTTTGGCTGATCCCACGAAAATCAGAAACTGAGATTGGCCGGGAACTCTGACTCAGCGACATGAAGCTCGCGCGCGATTCGTCTTTGAATTTCTCGGAGCCCTTGGCGACTCGGCTTTGAATAGAGCAAGTGGCGGGCCATTCATCAACATTTGACTCTTTGACTACAAAGACTCTCGGCGCACCGACTCGTCTCATTGCTGTGTTCCTGTGAGACTGTCTGCGGAACAACAGTCGGTAACTTGATAAACTCCGAAGCGGGAAGGGTCGCGAGTCTCTTTTAGCTCGTTCATTCGGTAATTAGATCTGCTTTGTTACAACATCGCGTGCGTCGAAAGGATTTGCAATGAAAACACGACGAACTCTCCGAACAGCTTGCTCCCGAAACTGGCGGCGGCAATTCTCTTTTTTCGGCGCTTGTCTCGATACGTCTTCTTGACAACAGCGATTCCGACCGAGAACGCGATAACAACAGTTGCATCTCGAGCCGTTTCACAGCGACTCGCGGTTCGAAACGCCGTCTCCTGCGCCCAGAACAACAGGAGCAGACTTTCGGGGAACGAAGTCGACTTTCAAATATCAGCTGTCGATTCGGTCTTCTGCATCCGCTTTATCGGAGCATCGAGGGAATTAGCGTTCAATCGCGTGGCTGTGATGCGTTCCTTGCGAGGGTGAAGTCAATCGGTGGGAAGGATAGCCCGTCAGTCAGCTGGTGTCTCAGGGGACAGGGGTCCTCTGAAAATCATTTTTCATTTTTCCTCGCGAACGGCTCTGATGAATATCCGCCTCACTCGTTCGGATTCGGTCACTATTAGGTCATCGGGTTCTATCGTTTGATTCATGATGAGCCTGGCGGCTGGCTCCTGGACGGCTCGTCCGATTGGGGATTAACTCTTCACTGGACAAATGTTTCATACAGATCGTTATTGATGGTCTCATCGCGCTCGTCTCGTCACTTGGTATTCGTAGTCGTCCATTGCTTTGCCGTCCGCCCGTCTCTCCGTCCGTCCGTCGCGATTCGCTCGAATCATTACTCTATCGCGACTCATCCGTTCCTAATCCCGGTCATATTCGATCTGAGACATGGTGCTCGTTCCGAGGACTCGTGCGGAGATCGACACTCCATTTGTCGCGATTTCTTTCCTCCGGGACGAATCGATATGATCAAATCAAAACAAATTCGGATCCAGATCACTTGTCGAGATTTCGAGCATCACCGAGAACATGTCGTATAAGAGCGTGTATTTGACAAACATTGTGGCGCTGAAACTTAATTGACTTTCGCTGCGCATCTATTACCAGTCGACCCCTGGGACCCCGGGAGTTATAGCCCGGCTATCTAGCGAGCAACCGCTGCGGTAATGCTATGGGGCTGCCCTGCCAATGTTGCTCGTAGTGGTGGTCGTCGTGTGCGCACCCTCGAGGCTCCCGGTGAAAAGGCGGAGTCTGAGCGGAACCACTCAAATGTGAGCATCTAATCAGAGAGGAGATCCACCCGAGTTGTTGACTCAGTGTTTGTCGAGCACGCACTCATTGATTTTGCACCGTTTGACAACGATCAACAGCAAGAGTCGACAAACGAAGTGACGGTCTAGGCAGACTCGATCTCGGTTAAGGAAGAAGGCTCATGCATTAGGTTTTTTTCCTTGGAGGAGAAGAGCAATTCAGGGCAATGCAGCCTATCGCAGGGTCGTGCGTGGGAACTTGTCACCCGCGTCTCCTCCTTGGATTACGATGTCCACCTCCAGACAGGTCCGTCTGCGGTCAGTCGGTTTTCTCACCCAGGCTCTGCCGATCTGTCAATTCAATTATGACCAGGAACGCAAAGGTCAGCTGTGGAATTCCAGTCGACGTTAACCTGGCGACCGGTCGACCACCCAAAGTCTGATCGCATCGCATTCCGGGAACATAGATCCTACAGTCGATATCAAAAGCGTCATCTAAACGGCCTCGTAGACTTCATCGTCGTCGTCGTCGTCGTGAACTCTGCGCGGCCGTTCGACGAAGACTTTCGCGGAAAGATACGTTGCTTGTGATCGATGCTTTCGTTTGTCATGTTCGGGATCCAAATTGAAATCTCGTGGATACTGTTGCGATCGTTGTTGATAAAGCAGCTGCTCGAAAAACACTTGATGTTGGTTATTCTGAGATTGGCGTGCTCGGTTCCCTCGTTGATCGAGCCTTGCTCCGAGAGCGAGCCGGTCGGACGTTTTCATTTTGTTTCAGAGAAGCAAGTTGGCCTAACCTTCGATTGATGGCTCGATGATAGAGCTCCCCGTCCTCCGTTTTCTCACCGTCCGCTCTGTTTCACCCCCCCGAAGGATATTCTATATTTCATTATTTTCGCCTCCCAAGCGGGTCGGAGGCAGGAAATTACAGCTGGAAGAAACGGGAGAGAGAATTATTCGAAAAATCTGACAAAAATATTCTCCCTCTCTTTACAGGCGAAAAACCATTCAAGTGCGAATTCGATGGCTGTGACAGGAGATTCGCCAACTCGTCGGACAGGAAGAAGCACTCACACGTGCACACCTCCGACAAACCATACAATTGCGGCATTCGCGGCTGTGATAAGAGTTACACGCACCCCAGTTCACTACGCAAGCATATGAAGGTGCACTGCGGCAGCAGCACGGGTCTGAACAGTAAGTCTCCTCCGTTGAGTCCAAACGGATCCGACTACTCGAACCCGACGACAGACTCGTTCTCGATCGCGCATTCTGAACGATCGGAGCTGCACAGTCAGGGGCATCTTACCAGTGGGCGTAGTGCGACCGGGGTTCAGTCGGGAATCCTCGCCACTCCGAGCGTGTCTTCTCTTCAGCAAAGTCTCAGCGAGCACGGACTCACGCCGCTGCGGTCTCCTCACGGACACAACCACCTTATACAACAGAACGCCGTGATGTCCTCGGGACTTTCGGCGGCTGGCGGGCTCACTCCGCTGTCGACCGCCATAAATCCGATGGCTCCTCACGCGAATTACAACGATTGGTATCATCCACCACAAAACTGCACAAACCCTCCGCAGTCCATCCTCCATCCCCATCAGGCTACATTGCAGTTCCATTCTCTAGCGCCACCCACAGCTTATTAGGCTTGGAAGGAATTTCTCTCATCGTCGTCGTCATCATCGTCGTGTTCAGCCTCACCGCTCACCACCAACATCTTCGTCGTGATCATCGCTATCATTCATCGTGCGGCGGCCCTGCAGGAAGTCTTCCGGAAACGAAACGCGCTAACGAGAGTCCTCGAAGAAGCAGCGTAGGGAAAATAAGAAGAAGCTCCAAAGGCCCCGTTGCAAGCTGATCGTAAGTGCGGCAGCACACGGCAGCAGCAAGAAAATAATGATCTTCAACATTGTATACACGAACGCATAATGAACGAAACAACACCCAACCTGAATTAATAATATTGAATAATGTATGATCGTTTCCCAATTGCGCGAATCGCTAGTGTTCGGCGATTAGGCTGTTAATAAGGAAACCGAAACCAACGAATTTAGAACGTTGAGAACTTCATAGGATTTTACGAAGGACTACATTAGATCTACGGACGACTTAAATCGCGGGGCTAGAACATCGCCCGTCCGTTCGACGAACTATCGATATCCGAGGATAAGCTGATCTGAATTGGATCACACTGTTTACTCTCGCTCCCAACACCCGTGCTCTCTGCCTCCTCGGAAAGAGAGGGGAGTAAATCCATATCTCTCGAGGGTATTCGACGGCATTCGGTCACACTCTATGAGAGTGGAATTCGGGTTTAAAGGATTGGTGACGGGGTGAAGACTTCGCCGAATTAGGTCGCTTTCAATTCAACTAATTGCGGTCAGAGAAAGCCTTTGGTACCTCAATCAGTGACGCTGTCTCGTGCGCGTCCATGACCGTTAGACACTTCTAATCTTTGAAATTGATAGGAAATCTATGAATAAGAAATCGCGAAACAAAATATAAGCTCCCTAGACTCGCTCGAGAACTGAATTACCCCCCCGAACTTTGCCGGAAAAATCAAGGGGAGAGACACCGTCGAGGGGCTCAAGATATTTCCGATCCCAGGTCTCTCGAAACATCCTCAGAATCGATCTATTGATGAAGCTGATCGAGGGACGCCGATTGGAACGGAATGAGGAAAATCGCTGTACATTGTATATATGGAACACATTTCCAACATTTGAGTAAAAGCATATTATCATTGAAAGAACGACAGTCATGGCCGAATTTGATCGGCGAAGGATCGAGTGTGAGTACATAATTGAAAGAGCATTGTCGACGCAAATCGACAATTCACTAGAAATAACCGGTCGAGTCCGAACGCAGTTGGGGTGACGGCGATCGTTGCCCAGGCCCAGTACTTCAGATTCACTAGCGAAGTATCGAGAAACCGCGGAGAGCTAGCTTAACAAATCTTCAAAGACTACGACAAGTCAGGAGGCGCGGCATCTCGTGACCGTGCCCGCCTGGATCGTCATACCCACAACATGGAGCATAGCGGATGCGAAGACAAAGATATTTCTTTCTCTCTCGACTTATCTATCTGTAAAATGCCGAAAACGTTGGAGAATAAATTGTACAAACGAAGCTGAGTATGTATAGATACGAAAAGCAAGTTCCTTGTGTTTACTCGCTCTATCTCGCGTCCGATTGGGTGCGATGTTTCCCTGCATGAGATCTCGAAACCTTCCTCCAAGTCAGGTTATCTTCGCAGAATTTCTCTTCCTTCCAGTCCCCCTGTTGTATCCCTTCATTTCGTTCCACTCAGTGTTGGATTCGCCTCAAGAGGTGAAAACCGAAAGCTGAACCCGAGCATGTCCCCGAAAACCATTCGACTCAAGGATTCCCGATCCAATCTGATCATTTTAAGACTGACGGTCCAGATCGTTCCGAAATTTTGAGCAGGTCACGGCGTTCTGTAGCTTGATGCCTTAGAAAACGCTCCAAAAGACTTCAGATTAATGTATGGCTCCTCCATTACTAAGGATAAAGAAGACGGGGCTGCAGGAAACTAAAAAATTGTGTACCATGTTGGCCTGAGGAACAGTTTCCTACGGACACGTCCGCCCGATCAATGGTTCCTTAGTTTCCAGCGAATCATGAGAACTGTCAGATCGACTTCTCCCACGAGCGAGAAGCGCGGCTCGCAAATCTCAAGCCGATCGAGGTGGCATCCATCTTCCAACAATCCGCGAAAAGGAAAAGCTCGGGCCGGCGGAAACGTGGTCCGCTTGCGAGGAATCCGCTCCCTTGGGAGTGGAGTCCCAGCATGTTCAACAGAATAGCCACTTAGGCTCCTCTGTTTTGACAGGGATCGCCTTTGTCCGACGAGAACTCAAGAGCATAATGGATAACATTGATCGAGTAAATAAATTGTATCCTACTTCCGCGTTTTCGGCGGTCATCCACGAAGTTTCAATGGGATTTGATTTACACACGCTCAACGTAAGAAAGCGGTTGGATGTACGGGAAAGATACGATCGCGGACACCGTAGACGTTTATCCAGCGGCAAGCATGTGACGACTCCGATGGCCAGGAGACTCGACGCATCGTCACCAGAGATACCTTCGAACAATATGCCTAATGACGCGATCAAGTGAATCTCAAGAATTCGATGCGCATCTATCTTTTATTCACATCCATCGGAGCGGACAACAAGCAGAATAAATCCACCACACGCTCCGACACTCTGATCGGCTGCCTGTCTCGGGATATCCCGATCGGATTGTTCCTCTTCCAACGGTATCTTCGCCGTCCGTGGGAAACCGAAGTGAAATCCGAAAGTCTCTGGTGCCGATATTAATAAGACGCGAGGCAATGGAGCGAACGACCTCGGCTCTGATGGACGCAGTGTCTTTGTTTCCAGCGTTGACAACGGCCTTCTCAATATGTCTCCTCATCATGGATCGTGTGTGTGCGCGTGTGGGTGTTCCTGTTTTCCATAATGACCAAGCGTGATATTCAGATGTAATAGAATCTTCGTCGCTTACGGAAGCTTCGCTCTTCAACCCGAAACCAAGAGCGGTCGAGCCGACACTTTTTCTCTCCGCCAGGCGGTGACTCTGTCGACAAAAGCCATTCCCGCAAGGGCGGTAAGAGCACGTGTCTCGGTTTATTTTTCAAAAAATCAGACCGGGGACTCAGCTCAGGAGTCCGTCTCCTGCTTTTTGTAGTTGACATTCCCCGGTGACGCCCACATCGAAAGACCTGCGACTGTCTAACCAGACGAATGGCAGGACGCTCCGGCTTCGCGTGTATAATAGAACGAAGCTCGAGTCCATTCACGCTTCAGTCAAAACTACAGGGTCAACGACTCTTTTTCGGGGAAAACCGCGACGGTGAGCTCGGGCAAGCAGCCTCGATGACGGCCTCCGACCAAAGACTTAAGGACGAACGATCCGAGGAGACAGGTCAATCCACAGGGTCGATGCAGGAAAGGCGGGGGATCGGGAAAGCAATCCAGGCAAAGGCTCGTGGAGAGGAACAGGACTCCCCGTTCATTCATTACATGACATGAAGTTCATTGAGAAACTTCTTGAATATCGGCCCACGTCTCCGATTGCGAGAAGCGATTGTGCGGAGCACGGAGACATCATCATCCTTGCAGATGTTCATCGATCAGGAAATATTGAATGAAGCCGCGCGGTCGCCTCGGCTGCAGTTGACAGCGTTTCTTCTGCAGACGACTCGCATCTTCTTGCATCACAACTTTGTGTCTGTTTGTGAGCACACAAAAACATCTACGCGCCGCCGGTTGAACGAATAGATTTATCCATTCACTCATTCATTTACTCTCCCGCGCTCTCTATTCACTTCGTCACTCATCCATTCATCCCGTCCGTCCATCCATCCATCCATTCATTTGAATGTTCGTTTAGGTCGCGTGCGATTATTCTACAAGCGGACGAGCGAGCGATACCTCACTCTTCCACTCTCTGGGTGTCGATTTGGCTCTTGACAGTTTTTATGTTTGTCGAAGAGTCCGATTTGTTCAAGCACCATATCTTCAAGTGCCTCGAGTGCTCTTGTCTGTAGAGCGCACTAACATCCGATCGTATGCTCAGATGACAGTTCGCACTCTTGAGCAGCCATCGGGGTCATTCCGTCACACTAGGAGTTTAAACACATGTATTCCGCGCATGATCTGCAACGCTCCGATGAAAACGAGCCCATGTCGCAGTCTCTGCACCGAATCGAGGATTCGCGCCTCCAGACTCATTCACGACCACAACCCCATCGCACACAGACGTTATGTCGACGAGGGAAAAGCGGGAAGACGTCGCCGTGAAGTCCATCGCACGGAATCAACGTTGTGAATGTCACAGAGCTGGCAGCGAACAATATTTCTGGGATTTGTGTCGAGGAACAGTTGCCCCGACCGACGTGGTTCTCTTCTCGATAATAAGGTTTCCTGTTCAGGCCTCCCATCGATTTGTATCACAGCATATCTATCAGCAAGCGAGCGTTCGGGAGCGAGCAAGCCACCGAGTAGGCAGAAGAGCAGCCCCATGATTCTGCCGTTCCTAATCCCTTGTGGTTGGCTGTGATGGTACTGAATCTGTTGATCTGTGTCGAGGATGTCTTCGATAATCTTCCGAAGCGGTAGCCTAAGGAAAGCAAAGGTTCCTCCTTGAGCTAACTAAGTCTATGTCACCAATACGGCACCTCTCATCAAAAACTCGGGCAGAAATTCTTCCGATCCTCCGCTTTCGTCCCCGACGATGTGCCCACGTACAGCCGTCCGGACTGCCGCGAATGAGAGAAAGTTCCCCGGTCATCCGATGGCGTGAAAGTTTCGAGCACAAGCTACCTGCACTCTCCCATCGGACAAATAAACACTTTGACAGATCTCCTCGGGAGAAGTTCGCCTTTCAGATCGGTCTCGTCATCGCAAAAAGTAATTCACCTTATTTTGTTTGCATGGTGGTGGTCTCCACAACGTTTACAAAGGCTCGATCGAATGAGCGAATGAATAAATTGACCTTTGCATGCAGAAACAGTCACTCGGTGTCGAATAACCCTCCCAACAGACCTCCTCGGATCGGAGTTTATCGAAGCGGACACGCCGATCCTCTAACAGGCTGGATCACACCACAAGATGTTCTCAATCGTCCTGCTTGAACCCCGAAGTCGTCTCTCCCGCCTTCGGCATCTGCAAATCAAAGTGTCTTATTTCACATCGACCCCATCTTCTCTATCTGAATAGAGCCAGAGGGGGGAGTGGGGAAGGTATCCGATACTTTCAACAACAATTCAAGCCCATCTCTTCCGACGGCCGCTCCTCAATTGCGGCCTTTGTCTTGGGCCTCTTCGATTTTCAAGCTGCTCGTGCCGGTGGTCGAATATAGTTTTGCAATTTAACCCTTGCTTCCCTGAACCACTAGCCGTCTGTCTATCCACCCGTCTTCCCCCTCTTGTCCCCCCGTCGCGCACAAAACCCCTTTTTGTTTCAGCGCCGAGTCGCTATAAGAGAATTCAAGCCCGCCGCCAGTCTGGCGGGAGAACGTTTAGGGAACCACGATGAGTAGAGGAGAGACTTGCTCGGAGAAAGCGGTTGGAGGGGATGAGAAAAAAGAGGAGATCGAGGAGGAGGTTCTTGCCGAAAGCGTTCATAACTGTCAGGACCAGATGACAGCGCGTAGGGGGGAAGAATGTTGTGACAGAGGGACGATGTGAAACCCTGGACTTGGAGAGCTGGCTACCTCGGTCGACCCGTTGTTGAATGACTCTCACCATGTAGTGGAACTATGTACTCGACGGATAGAGTGAGTGAGCGAGCAAGCAAGTCTGTTACTCGCTCGATTAGAGAGAGTCAGATAAAACAAGAAAGAGGGAAGAGTTTGTCTCACTCCTGAGTTGTCGCGCGCTGCGCGAACATGTAGCTGCATCAGGACGAGAATCGCTTCGGAAACTGTCCGATCTTGGAGCTTGTTTCGAGAGCGCACTCGACCAGACAGTCTGGACAGCTGCTCTTCTTCAGACAGTTCTGCTGTTCTGCTTCATATGGATGGGGGAGGGGCTCTCGAGATGCTTTCGAATCCGTTTTTGATCCGGTTGATTTAAATCTTGATGTCCGTGCCTATTAAAGTACACACATTGAAACAAGCTCCCCTCGATCATTCGCATCGTCGTAGAAATGCGAACTTTTGTCCAGCTTCCCTCGAGGCAAGGACTGCGCTCTGTTACCCCTTCGACTCTTCCGACTGTCAAGAACCGACTTTCGTCCGATCGCGCGCTAATCCTAGCAGGTTGTCTTTCAGTCCGCATCGAAGCAGCTCGGGGTCAATTCACACATCGACGACGTCGTCTCTCGCGTCAGACCCGGAGGAACAGGAATAGGTAATAATAAAAACGAAACGTAAGTTTCTTCACCGTCGAGCATTCGTGGCCACAGTTTCGCACAGTTTCAGGCTCGGATGCGGATATCGTCTTTGAGGAAACAGCAAACTTCTAAATTGATTGTTTGTTTGTTATGGTAACGCATCACCGATCGCGGTCTTCGGCTCCTTGTTCGAGGACTGAGACAGCGTACTTGAACGACGGCGTCGATCGTTTGCGAAATCTTCTAATCGCGACAGAGCGGAATTTCAAAATCTGTCATCCCCATTCGTCACCTCTTCTCCGCATTCAGGAAACTGATCCGCGTGAGCGAGAGGGAATGAATCCGCTCTTTGTCCGAGATCCAGCGCGGGGCAGAAGTCAGTCCTGGACAGATTTCGACGCGGTGTTCTTTGTCATCGACTATTTCAATAGCGGCGTGAAAGAGCACCTGCGATGGCTCCGACCTGTTGATAAACGGCTCCTTAGCGGATCGTCGCTAGATCGATTACTTCCGTCTCGACAATTGTTCGAATTCGATTCAAAGACCTGTTTCGAATAGTCCCGGTGTCGATCAGAGCCTGGCGTGATCCTCTTCTCATTCAGTCCCTACCTCCCGAGTTTCTCGGGCCATTCGGCAACGATTCTTCAATTTCCTCGATTCGAAATTCTCATCCCGGTGTTGTCGACCTCAAACGTCCCGAATATCTTCGACCGGAGACTTCAATATATTATACGTAGTATGTTCTGTGCAAGCTCAGACTTTCATTGAATCCGAAGCCAGGCTCGGCTTTCGGAACCTCTCACTGGTATTCTTCGCCAGTCGGACAAATTTCCTAAATGTTCTCCAACGAATTCGCGGCGATCGACATCTACACGAACCTAGATTGGGGTAATGCGCGTAGCCATGCGTGAGGTCGTCCAGTGACAGCCACGTCCGTCTTCGGGTGTATTGTCATTGAGAACACAAAACAAACAATCGTGTTTGTTATGATTTTCATGCTCTGACTCCATGTTTGCGTGTGGTCGGAACAACAATATTAGACTCGATCAGGGAAGCCCCAATCTTGGGCTTGGCCGTAAAGTGGAGGATGCCTCTGATTTTCAGGCGCGTATTCGGTCTGGACTTCCGATCCACCCGAGCTGCTCCCCTGTCGCAGACCGAGTATTGGGAGCAAACCCAGTTCGCTTTATCGATCTTGTTTACGCGGTTCCACGTCGGATTCTCGTTCCGCTATCCCCATTGATTGAAAGCTCGAGGATCGCTCGTCTGATTGATGGAAACATAATTGATGCTTCCACGATTTTTGCTCAGTCAGCTTTGGCTGATCTCGCGGTCGCACATGCTGCCAATGAATCAACGATGCGCGCGTCCGCCCCTTGGGACGTCCGCCTGCTCTTCGTTCAGGACAAGAGAATCTGTGACAACGACAGCGGCGACAATGATGGCGGTCCTCCACACGATTCGCAATCTAATTATGATCGTGTTGAGTTCCTGGTGCTCCATCATCGTGCGGGGAAACGAGCTCCGCAGCTTCGGGATGGATTCCTGGGGCAATTTCACACTGAAATAGCTGCGAGGATGTCTGAGAGCAGAATTCCACTCTCAACAACGGCACAAGCAGTGGTACTCGATGCCGGGGTAGCGCTAGAGGTGGTTTGCAACGTTAAATCGTTCCGTCCGTCGGTGTGCTCCGAGGTCCCAATGGATGTGTGCCGGAAATCGCGAGAGAAACCTTTGCTATGAGAGATCCGCCGCGTGGAGACATCAGCCGATACGAAGGAAGTATAATATTTCAATGACGTATCGTGTCGTTATTGTCACAATGATTTTGGGGTTATTATTGATATTTTGGGGGATGGTTCTCTGAAACCCTCGCTCACTTCCCGTGAGCTCATTGATCGAAGACGGCGCAGCCTTTCCGAGCAGATTCCAAGTGCACCAATAATCTCGTTGCCCCGCACTTGATGTGGACCACGGCGATGGTGACTCGATTGTTCCGACGCTACTATCATCATTATACTGTTCGACGTCCGGAGCCGAATCCATCCTTTCGCTCAGGCGTCGTAACTCGCTTGCCCAAGCGTTCAGTTCGCTGAATAAGCCATTGATGCGTTCATTAATTCGTCCATTCGTCAATTCACTCATTGATTGGTTTATTCAATTGTCATTGTTCGACTTAATTCGTCTGTAAATCCATCTGGCCCTCCGTCCGGCCGTTTGAGCGCCTGTGTCACTGCTTTCCGATATTGTATTCATACAAGCTTGTGTTACCCTATGACTGGTTCGCCTGCTCGCTCGCTCGATGCCGCTGCTTGGCTGGTTCGTGAGGCTGTTCGCTACGCTATCCATGCAATTAAAGTGGGATCCCGCTGTTTCTTTCGGCTGTGTGTGAGTGAGCGAACGAGTGAGTGTAAGCGTGTATGTTGTGTGTGTCTGTGTCGCGCCCAAACGCCCGTCTAGTAGCATGATAATCGAAATTGTGTTGCAGCAACGGCAGCAATGCCAACCGATCGCCCATTCTTACTCGTGACGAACGAATACCTAAACCATTTTCCTAATGGCGAGCGATCCGCATCTTAAACTGAAAGAGAATCACATCCCCCTGCCGACACCCGAACCTAAGCGCGCGAGATATTATCCTTCGGTGTCCGAAACGGTCGTTTTTCCGGGATATCGTCGGGCGAGAGCTATCATGAAGTCTCGACTTCCGAGCAGCGAAACCTCACTCGGGCATGGCCTTTCCGAGCACGAGAGCCTAACTCCAACGAAGCTGTGAGGATTATCGGTACCGATCCGATACAAAAGACGTCCATGGACAGCGCTCTCTGTTGTCTATTCGAAATTTGAGGTTCCGCTCGTAGGCGAGGAGGAGGCGAAGAAGAGAGACTGAGACGACACTGCTAGCACTCGGAACCGCAGTATTATAAGAGCAGTCCGGCACTCCGTTGCAGGCGTCATTCAGAAAAGGAAGACCGAGGACAGGAAGGAGATATTGGCTGAGTTGTATCCTTTTGTGTAATCCTTTTTATGCGTTGTTCTTCGGCAGCTTGTAGTCGTGTAGCAATTAATCCGAGCCTTTTGTGCACTCAGGACTCGAGTCCTTTTCATGTCAAGTGCAGACTGATTTTTTTGTTCCGGCTTGCTCTAGCCGTTCTCTTGCCATTCCCGCTATTCTCTCGCGCGCTTTCACCGTGTCTCGATTCTTCTCTGTCGTTCGGGTCTCGAATGCGCGGGTGCATTTTATTGGCCCGGCTGAAAATTCCTCTGTTTGGCAAAAAAAAGAGGGATTCATACCCTAGATTTTCCAAATGGAGACGTAGTTGTGAAGTTCTCCGGATATCGGAGATACGACTCGAGTCGGCGGAACCGCGACCCTGAGGAAAGTTTCTGGCTGGAACTCGAGTCGATTCGATCCGGCCTCCATCACGGAGGAGCGTTCAGCTGATTATCTTCTCTGTTCCCCCGAGTCATCGTTCACGCTCTCCTCCGTGATTCTCCTCCACGGATTCCCTGTACCTGGGAGGGTAATTATTCAGCCCAAAATTATCTCCTAGTCACCCAATTATTATTATAGAGGCGATGCGGAATTATGCAAGCCAAATCGAGAATCGCGCTCGTCAGGAGGGTCTTTCATAATTAGATCCCTCCCAGTAACGAGCGGTTACCCGACGGTATCGAACGCGAAGCGCTCGGATGGGTTACTACGATGACCCCTATTTCGTGGATGCGTGAGCCGATTCATCGGGACTACTCCGCAACCAACAGCAGGCATCCGTCCGTCGACCGGAGCAGAAAAGACACCGCCACAAGATGTAGATGGCCAGCCCACATTCATAAGGAACAACCAGAAAAGCGTCAGAGAGAAAATTCTGCTGCCCTCGTCACTCAATCGAATGGGCTGATTCCTTTGGGATCGGCATGTGTAGGATGAAGTCCTGTGAATCTCATCAACGGATCCTCCTCCCAGGGCATCGACTGGGAGCGAGTTGGACACCTAGTCGATTCCAGGCGCTCTAATCTAAAGGCCTCGATTCGGTGTCTTAAGTGTCCGGAAGCATTGATTCGGCTTTCCGGACTCAGTATTCAGGAGAGCGAGGAAGGAATCCCTCCAAGCTTTTGAGAGGTTGCATGACCTTCGGGAATCCGAGCCATCTCCCGAATCCCAATCCCTCTGTGACTAGAATATCGATGCCGATATCCGCTGGTACATTCCTCCTCGCACTAATTACGTACATTCCTTGCGTTCTCCTCTTCGTGTGTCAGAATGAGGTGAAAGGGAAGACGTCAATGAGAATTTGTGAGGAGGGCGCAGAATGCGGGATGGTCGCCATTCGAGTTGACAGGAGGCGTATCGTTAGCATATTTCTACATTTAAATCAGGTGGCTATTGAAGGCGGAGAATTCCAACGCATATCGGAGCGACTCACGCGGCCGCCCCAGGGAGGAGAGGAAACTCTTTGCGAATCCTTCGATCTCGCCACGGATCCCTCACGCAATCGCAACTTTCGTGTACGCTATTCGTGCGAAAATTCGCCGATCGCGGACTGTCGAGCGGTAAGAGAAAACAGACGTCTAATGAGAACGAGGAAACGACACGTCTGAGGGTCTTTGTTAAAGAGCGCTTCATCATATCAACAACAGAACTCTTGCTAACGGCGGAAAAAGAAAATGAAGAAAAAACAGCCAATTTCACTTAACAGCTCTATGGGATTCAGTGGTATTCAGGCACAAGAAACGAATACCCGCAGACAATAACATCTGCCGGAAACGATTCATTCTCGCCAGAGCGCATAGGGTCCGTTCCGTGGCTAGGTAGACTCGCTTCGGTCGCTTGTTCAAGTTGTCAGTGCTGTCTTCGACGACCACGTCAAAGTCTGGGTGGAGATGAACTTGAAGCCTCATTTTCTTCATCTTCTCCATTCCATTAACATCACCAAAGCTTGGACGGCATCAGCTAGAGCGGCTGAAACCTCTGACAACGAATATAATTAATCGCATTTCATAGGCCCGCCTGGTTTTGAAGTTTGCTCGAAGCTGGAGAGTGACGGAATGCTCGACGAGGTTTGTCGAAGGCGCCATTGCGTGGGCGACCCCTTCAAATCGACTTAACGGTGAAATTCAATGTCTAATGAGTCTATCAGAATTGGCTCTCCCGATTGTAATTGAAAGGAGCATCGAATGCTCTGAGAGCTCTGAATCGTTGCCTGAAATGGAAGTTCCTGGTTCAACAACGCATCAGGAGAGTTCTCCCGAATCAGCACAATCTCCAAACCGGAAGCTCTCCTTATCAATGATTCAATGATTCTTGCCTGGGTCGCTGATGAGTGACGGCCCGGATCAGGATCCGAAGAATCTCTCTATCTGAAGTTGGTGGAGACTCTACAGAGAAGCCAATGACTTCTTGACGGGCGACGAAGGTTGCCGACGGAAAGAATTTTGAGCGTGTTCTCCCTCTGACTGAGAAAGGAGCAAATAACAGTCTCGGAGAGGAATTGATGGCATGCTCAGTACTCTCGCGGTAGTCATCATCGCAGCGAGGAAGAAAACACGGAATTCCACAGAGAACGATTCCTGGTCGAGAATCAGCTCTCTTGCAACTGAAAAGGATTCCATCCTCCGTACAGTAATCAATAAGCGGAGCTCGGGAGTCTGTGTGGCCTCTTCCCTGCCCGTCATGCCTATTTTGCGCAGTTCTTCTGCCTACTCCACATATTTGCAGTGTTTTCGTGCCTGCTTCTTCCTAATTTCCTAGCTCTGGTAGTGAGTAGTGAGTACTCAGAATCACCCCCCCCCCCTGATGCTACTTCGGTGATTTCCAACCTTCTAAATAATAGGACCGACAACATCTAGGAGATCCCCGAGTTTGAGGACAGTTATTCGAGAAGCTTGCTTTTCGCTCTTTGGAGCATGAACCGCTTGATCGCAGAACACGCAGATTCCAGAGTATGCCAGAGCGAAAGAGGAACCCACAGGAAGATCCGAGTGAGAAATCGTGGACTCTGAACTGAAGGTTTTAAAATGCGAAATCGAAAAGCTCGCAGCGAACTCGCGGCGAGATGTTGTCTTTTAGGGCGCTCATGAAACATTTCCACTTCGTTGCTCACAATTGGCAGATTGTTCTCAATCGATCACTAGTCATCGCAAGTTCGTTCGTCAGCAAGCCACAAGTTTTCACAGGAAATGATGTTTCTATGCAAATGGTCCCGCTTGCCTCGCTCGATGTCGCAATCTCTCACTCGCTGATCGACCGCGGCCCGACCGGCACTGGTCGCGAATGGGAAAGTTGTGATTGATTCGACTATTGGACGGAAAGTGTAGTCAGGTTGAGCGTGAATCATTCTAGTGAAGCGGTTTCGTCTGCGGTCAGCGTTGAGTTGGAATCACAGAAAGTCAGATCGATTATGCAATCAAGTGATCCCTTCGACGCAATCGCCCGCTAATGTAGACACATTGATCTGGCTCCGAAAAATATCCCTCGTCTCCGACATTCGAATGAGAATCGCTCGCTGACGGTGTGATCGGACTTCAACCGGAATTCTTTTTGTCTCCCAGGGAAGTTTAAGAAACGAATCTCGCCATTGCTCGTTGCTCCTCTCGCAGCGATCCCTCATGCTCGATCTTCTCTCAGATGGGACCAGTTTCAATATTTTGCATGAGCTCGCTCCAGAGTCTCTACACGACTTCCCGGACCGGAAGATCTCAACGAATTCTCCCCCGAATGGTCATATGCCTCTTGTTTTCCCGGAATCCAGGATGGGAGTATTGAGGAGTGGGCGGTTCTCCCAGATTCTGTTTTTTTCTGTGGAACATTTGGAAACGAGCTCCTTCCTCCCCCGTTCCCCGTTCCCCGACTTGGTTAGTGCATGGTGGGCATCTGACTTCGCAAACAACTGTCGAATGGGTTGAAGAAATATTGATCACATCCTGGTGGTCCTGATTTCGCCATTGTGAATTTCAATTGGTGTCCTGAGCGTGCATGAAAAGAATCGAGTGGATTTCCTGGCGCGGTGGCGAGCTCTCAGCCCGAAAAAACTCGATTCCGAGAATCCTCCGACGTGACCTTAGACTGTACGAGGCATTCCCGCCGAATCGTGCGTGGAGTCGATCCAGGAACGGTGGCTCGGCAATCTCGAATACTCGATCTCGTTAGGATCGAATCACTGAACGGATCCATGAAGTCCCCCCTTCCCCCATCCTGGCAGAACGACGCCGGTCTTCGCCGTGTACAATAATTTTATTTACACATAATTCAACTGTCTTCCGATGTCTGCTTCGATTCTGTTTCACCACCCTCTTCCATCTTTTCGTCCTCTTCCTTTTCTTCCTTCAGATCATCCTTCAATTCGTGTTTAGCTGTGAGGGCTTTGGCTTTCTCAGCGTACATATCGAAAACGAGTTGTGCCATCGCGCTCATATCTTCCACTGGAACCGATTTCGGCTTCTGTGTGGCTTTGCGAGACGTAGGGTAGGTCTCGTCTTTGACGATGTGTAGTTTTTGGGGTCGCTTCAAGAGGATATCGAAAGCTCTCTTGATCTCATAACAGTTTTTGAACAGCGACACTCTCCCGAAAATGTACAGACCCAGTCGAGCACGAGACAGAGCCACGACCAGACGCCTCACATCTCTTATGTGGCCGATATTCTTCGTACGAACCAACGATAGAATTATGTAGTCATTCTGCTGACCCTGATATTTGTCAACAGTGGTGATCTTGTGAGGTTCTCCGATTAGTGGATTCTCGCTACATCGCTGTTTGACCACATCTCTGAGGAGATGTTTCTGTCCGTTGTAGGTGGTGAGTATGGATATTTTTTCCGCGGGATAGCCGAGTAGCCTCATGTACATGAAAAGAGCAGCACAATACTCGGCTTCGGCGAGGTTCTGGTAGAAATAAGGATTCGGCTCGCTCTCTCCAACCCCGTTGAAATCTTCGACGTTTACCAGTTGGTAATCGAACGCGAGTCCTGCGTTGCCAACTTGGTACTCGGGATCGTTGATAACGTGCGGTAGATTCCCTAAGGTGACGTAACGCCAGTTGTACAGGGAGCATATGGAAGCCCTCGAACGACCTTGGCCGTCGAGTTGGACAACAGGTACTCCGAGACGCACGAAACGGGTGAATAGAGACTGTTCCATGTTGGAGTATTTTTCGAAAGCCATGTTTTTGATGACTGGGGGGAGTTGGTGGTGATCTCCAATCATGATCCATCGCTTCAAACGGTTGTAGCCGTCCTGGGGGTTCTGGAGCAGCAGCGGGATGAAGGTTTCGATCTCAAGGATCTGAGCGCTCTCTTCCATGAGGATGTTGTCGTATTTGAAGCCGAGTCGGACGAGCTCGTGCCGCTTCAAGGCGGCGTGCGTACAAGTCATGGCGATGATTTTCGCTTCTTTCACTAGCAGGTATCGAGACCGATCCAAACCGGTCCGCATGAGCTCCATCGCTCGGAATTCTTCGAGCTGAGTGAACATGTCTTGAATGTAGAAGAAACACTTGCGGGCTTGTTCGAGGTCGGCTTCGTAATCACCGATGAACAACGGATCAAGAGAATCGAAGAACTTAGTGAAAGGGAAGATTTTCTGGATTTCGCATGCGTCTCCGGAGGGATTCTTCAGTTTAGCATTAAATTGATCCCACCGCGATTGGACCTGGGAAACCAAAAGGAAATTCTGTAGGTTTGTTAATGCACCATGACGAGGCTTCTCTCGAATATTTGGGTGTCAGCCGTCTGTCGTCAGAGGGATACTTTGAGAACGGAGCAAACGAAGTCAATTATTGTCACGTTCGCAGCTTGGAGTTATGAATGAACAGCGGAGCGCACTCACATGATTGAGATAGAAATACGCCGCTGTTTCGCACGTGTAAGCGACGTCGCCCGTCACCCCCAAGCTCTGCTGAAGCGTCCCGACTTCGGAAAGCAAGTGTAGCCTTTGGGCGAGAACGTAGTTCACGCGACCATAACGCGAGAAATCTTTCTCCGTCTCCAGCTGCTCCTCGCCTGAAGCCCGAAAGAAAACAGCTGTGAGTATGAATTATTCTGAATCATTGAGCGAGCGTTCTCTCGATAGATAATGTATCATAGGAGATTCGATCGAATAAAATTCCAGGGATGTAGATGTATCAGAAGAATCAGAAAAATTCTGAAACGATCTGCAAGCGAAATTCCGCCTGTATTCATCGACCGGGCTGTCGAGTACTCACCGTGTCCGAGACGCAGCAGATGCCTCTCGTCGACGTCGAGGGCCATAATTTTCTCAAACAGCTGATTCAAAGCTTGATTCGAATGCGTCACAATCAGAGTTCGCTGTTCCGGATTGTTGTGATAGATATTGGAGATAATTTGAACGGCCACGTCCGTTTTTCCAGTCCCGGGTGGACCTACGACCATGGTCAACCCGGGCTGCATTCCGGCCTTGATCGCTTCGATTTGTGTAGGCGTGAAAGGAACTTGGTTCACCTTCGGCTTTTTCTTGTAGTACGGGCTCCTGATTTCGAATTTGTGAGGGGTGACCATAACTTTTCTCTCGATCGCTTTCTGCGTCTCCGTTCTCACATCACAGAATTCGAGCTTGAAGGGTCGTTCGACGGGGAGGTTCTGCGGGTTGTTCACCTCTATTTCGTATTTTGGGAAAGATTTCCTCAGATGATCCAGATCCAGGAACGTGTCGTTCCAATCCAAGGGACTCCTGATTTGATTAGGCAGCTTGCTGTAGTGTGCCGAGCCCGGATCGCCGTAACCGAGTATGATATCATGTAGCCAGTCCGGCACGACGAAATCGGTGTTCATGAGCTCCCGGATGGTTTCCAGGACAGCTTTGAAATTGTTTTCCTTCGGTTTGCGCCGTAGGAGAATATTGAAGCTCTGATATACGTTGTCGCCTCCCTTCGAGATCTTCTCCGTGTCCTCCTTGTATTGATTGCAGTCGAGGAGAACGCGATAGGTCCGATCGTCGGTTTCGTAACGCGGGACCTGCTCGAAATCTTCAATGATCTTCCCGCTGTTGTCTAGAAGACCTTCGACTTCGCAACCTCGGACGTAGGTGAGACCGACTTGAGGGATGAATGGCTCCTTGCGATTGAAAGCCGTACCTGGGTCTCTCGTGGGTCGAACCGTCACAAGGAACATGACGTCGTGCCGACGCAGGGCTTCCCATTCAGATTTAACGTCACGCTTCACGTTGAGGTGGATCGTGACATCGGCTCGGACGACGCTAGGTTGTTTCTCGCCGATCCGTGGCTCCCCTACATGGAGAATGTTGAAATTTGAAATCGGGGTCGCCATCCGGGACCAGCCCCCGAAAATGACGCCGCCGTCCTCAGATGCCCAGGGTTTGAGTCGTAGGACAGCGTCTTCTACGTTTTGACGGATCTCGAAAGTGGACTCCAGTCGGAAGAGTTGGAAGTTTCGTAAAAGGTAGTCGTGCAGGGTCAAGAACTGTAGGTTCAGTTTGGGTAGCGCTAGACACCCCTCGCCGTTGTAGTACGCCGTCGGGACGACGTTCTCGTCCCAGATAACTTCTTCCGTCGGATACAGAGGCATCTCATTCAAGGCTTCGAGTTGCGAGAGCCGTTTCTCATTTTTAGCAATCAACAACTCGGACAGAAACTCTTTGGAGAAGGGTGTATCTCCGTTTTCCGAGAGCGGCGGCACCAGTTTCAGGAAAGCTGCGATCGGGTGGAGTTGGGCCGCGGAGAGGTCGCCGAAGTGCTCGACCAGAGATTCTCGCTTGTCGACGGCGGCCACATTCGACAGGGCGAATCGTTTCAGCTCGGGGAAATACTTGAAAGCCGCCTTCTGCAACTCGGATATCTTCTGGTAGTGAATTGCCATCATGTTCTTGTCTCGCAAGGCTTCTCCGGTGGCGTCGTTAATCTCAAACTTCGCGTAAAATTTCAACATGTCGAGCAGCTGAGAGAAGAGCCGCCCTTCGGGTCGCTGACTCAAGTTGGAGATCGAGCACTTCACGACCAAGTGTGAATCGTCGAGTAGCGTGTTGAAGAAACGTCGCGTGGGCAACAACGCTTCCAGATCGACCATAAGCTCGATGAAACGTTCACAATACGTCACGACGTCGAGGGCACCCTGCTCGAGAGCGTGGACCTGGAAGTCGAGATATCCGTTAGATCCGGGTCTACGGAGGGCAGCCTGACCTTGGAACGTCCAGGCGGTGCTCGCGAGAAAATCGGGTGAGGAATATCTAATTCTCGGTCTGATGGGAGAGTTTCCTCCCTGAATGATCCATGCTCCAGGTACAGCCAAGAAAAGTTCTCACCTTATCCTTCGCCGGTATCGTTTCCAAGAGTTTCAGGAATTTGTCGATCATCTTCCGCAGGAATACACGATCTTCGCGAACGTTGTCCAGTTCTTCAGGGCTCAGTTTTTTTTCGGCCTTCTCCAAAAACTTCCAGAACTTCAGAAGTTTGGGATTGGCTTCAAATTCGTGTTGGCGCCTCTCAGGGAGGATTTCGCTCCAGATTCGCATGGACACTAGTTTCTGAATCTGATCCCGGATGAGCTCTACCTGGAAGTATGATTGGTCTGTCAGACAGTGTCCTCATCAGTAAGGATACGGGAGCCCAGCCATTCGCGCGAACAACGTGCGCTGGATTGCTATTGGACAGCTCCGCTTTTTGCTTCGATCTCCCATGAGACTGAATGTCTCGTGGATACGTTGATATCGAATTCCCTCGCGTGCGGAGGCACCTCACATCGAATGATTGATTCAGCTAGAAGCGCCCATGGGGTGTCGACTTCCCTCGATACTTACCTCGACCGAGTTGAAACAGCGATTGAGAAAGATGAGAAGACTCGTTTGCTCCTGAATGCTATATTGGAAGGTTTCATCGAGTGCCGCGCGCATGACTTTGCGGAAGAAGGCGGGAAACTCCTTGGGGTGATCGAGGAAAGCTCTCCAGGCGGGAATTCTCTCCCGGAACTTTTCATTCACCATTGCAACAATCGATATCAGGTGGCCCTTGGTCGCCTTCTCCGAAACGAAATTCGGCCAGAGGTAGTTCTCGAGGAACTGAGAGAACTCGAGCGCCTTTTTACTAGTCGCTTTGGTGATTTCATTGTTGTAGATCCTCTCGACCGTCGCTGGGTCGTAGGACTCGTCGCAATTCCAGAGTTTTGCAGCATTTTCAACAACACCAACCGGTGCGGACGCGGGCGCCGCCATTTTGCCTGTTTTCATTCCGGATGACTGGTGGGGAGAGAGTTGACCGTGGAGGAGACAAGCGCGCAGCTTGAAAGAGCCCGAGTTGGAGCAAAAAACGATGCTTACTTTTTCGAAGAACGCGTCCCCCGATAGTCAGTTCTGGATCATGGATGATAGCGATCGAGGAACACGATTCTCCGTAAAACCGAGCCGTATTCTCCGTGTTGGATGAGCTCGCTAGGAGTCCAAGGCCATGAGGAGTCCATTTCCCAAAACTCGTGTCAGGCGGTGTTTCTCGGAATGAAGATTATCGTTCCGGTGAAACGGAGAGCTGAGAATATCACTATGATGTAAAATGTAGAATAAGCGAGTCATCGGGAGCCCAGATATCCGCTCTGATCGAGGATGATGGAGGAGCCGGGAAGAATCAAGGATAGAGGTTATGATAATGTACACACTTGAATTTGGCTCGAGGAGTTTTCAACGGGGCAAGACCGGCGGACGGAAAAGATTTTCAGTTACCCATTCTAAGATATGTGTAAATGTTCATCCTTGGCTTCCTGCGTGTCCTGTCGGGACTTCAATCAGGCTTCAATCAGCCGGTCGAGTGAATAATTTGGCAACCCTGACGCGAGGAGATGTGTACTTGATCTCTTTCAGAGACTCTCTGTTTAGCGCCATGATGATTTCATCCGCCTAACACCCTTCAGAGTTCAAGGGAGAGAATTCCTGCGGGTGTTCAATGCTGTAAGAGTGTGGGAAGCTGCGATCCTTTATGAAGGGGACGCTCCATGAACCAGGATGCAGCTCACGCACCCACGACGACTTTGGTATGATTTCCGTGGACAACGCACCGAAAGGTCCGCTCGAGCACACGCGGACACTCCGGCGGAATCCTGGGAAACTTACGGGGGTTCGGAACACGATCACGGGGAACTTGAATTAGTGCAGAGCGGTGGGCATCAGGTGACGCAGGACTCCGCCCAAAGGACAAATCCATTCAAAGACATCCAAGCATCTCAGCTTGTGGGGCGAGACAGGCCTGGACTGAGATCCGATCATAGACGAGTCTCCGGTCGGGATCGTCACCGACCATGCTCGATTCCTTCATACAATCGAATTCGAATCGATAGTCCCAATTCCAGAGGAGGCAGTCGCACGCACCGCTCGCTTCCGCTGAGGCTCTCAGCAGAGACCATCGTCATCATTCGCCTTCACTCTCCCATGCAAAGATTCCATTTCTGTTTAATTTGAGTCCCCGTTCGCGGAGAGCGGATTCCCCGTAGACTTAGCATACGTACAGGATACGCTCCGTTCCCGAGCCGTTGGTGGAATCGCTTCTAGAATTCTTGCGCAGGACCGTCCCGGCCAAACTTAAGGTCTGACATAATTGCGCTAGCCGCTGCTGGTGGTGGTGCTGGTGTTGCTGTTTCTGCTGCTGCTGACGACTTGGACTGCTGTCTTCCGTCCCTCCGTCGTCTGAGGAGCAGCGACTTGTGCTAGTGAAACCGTTTTCGCAACTGTTTGGCACTGACGCTGCCGCAGATTGCAAGCTTTCGTCAGACCCGGACGATCTGAGGCCTCAAAATGGCTATAGGGTGGATCCTCAAATGTATCTCAGGACCGAGACTCTACAGAGTGTACAAAACGGATACATTCCAGGTTCGTGCGGGGACAGCTCCAAACAGGTTCATGATCGCATTTCAGAGTGACACGTGTTTACGTGAGGTGTTTCGCCTGAGAGAACGATGAGTAATACCGATTGAGCTCGATGCCGTTCCGAAACAGTGACTCTCGTTCAAAAGTGGACTTTCCTGAAGGCTTTTCCTCAAAGTCCACCGGATCCATTTCAGCTGGTGACAGGGAGTCTGCGGTATTGGCTCAGGCGTTCTTGGTTTTCAATCCGGACGTTTTTTTCCAGGGGAAAATTTATGAGGCCAACTGTCTCGAAGGCTACTCAGACAACATCATTCGTTCCCTCGGATACGCAGTGAGTTTTCCCAATTCTTGGAATTTATTCCATTCACTGCAGTCAGGTGGTTCCTGCTGTCGTTTCTGAAGCGTTCCGCTACGCCTGAGGAACACGGAGTTCTCCTCGGACTCGTTTTCTCACGTCCACTGCGTAGAGCGAGCGATCGTTCATGTTTCCCTAAACCATATGAGGGCCGCGCTTCGGCGGCTGTGAAGACCGCTGAGGAAGAAGACAAAGACCGCATGGTGGACGATCTAGAAGATTCGGTGGATTTCCTCACGTAATGATTATATTCCAGCTCTCGTTCGCGTGGTCTCTCGGGGCTCTGGCATCACCTCTAATCGCGTACTTTCTCTACCGGAAAGGCATCGTTGGATCGCTTGACGTCGTATTCTACTTATCAGGGTAGGTCCTGAGGCGGAGTCTGCCTAGGTTCCACGCGAACGATTCCCTCTTATGTAAATCGGATCATTCCCGAGCCGCTATCACCTTCCCGAACATCAATGGAATTGGATTAGTTCCGAGCGACCTTGCAGTCCGTCGGGAAAGATTGCAGTCGGTCGGGAAAGATTGCAGTCGGTCGCACACGGCGCGGATCAAGAGCTGTGATTTTTGTTGTTCCAGACTCGCAAAAGTCGTTGTCATTGTATGGGTCGGAACGCTATGTCTCAGAGGCATCGGCCGGTGCGCGAATACGGATTACCTCAAATTCTTGGCCGCTCTCGAGAAAGCGCAGAATGACCGAGCTGCCCTGAAAATCTACGACGGAGACTTCGACGCGTGGCCCGTCGATTTCACATGGAGCGACGTCGTAAGGTGAGCAACGTCATTAGGGTGAAATCTAGCCCCGAAATTATTGTCGCGGACGTGTCTCCTGCGAGCAGAAGCTAGCTGGCCACAGGGCGCCGCTCGACAGCTCATCAGCCGTTCAGATTCTGAAATGTCAAAGTAGGATGTCTACTTATGAGTTGACTATTGGACTCCGATGGAGAGCGAATCCGAGAGGATTCATTAGCAGCCCGATTCTTGCTCATGGTGACGCAGCGATTTTGAGAAAAATCGATCCGATGCCCCTTGAGCGGAGCTGATCGTGTTCTGCGACGAGCGCGGCAGCAGCGACCGCCGCTGCTTCCGTCATTTCCGTTCCCGAAAGCGCTCCAGAATCAAGAGCGTTCCAAAATAAAGAACGTCCTTCCTTCGCAGCTCGAAAGACAAACCGCGAGTTACGACAGAGCCGTCGGCATCCTCCGCCAGAGGTCAAGGTCTTCTGGACTTCGTCCGCGACTTGCCGTTGCGGGTCGTTGGCTTCTTATGTATTCACTCGTTCGGACGGAGCATGATGTATCCTGGTGCGGTGAAGCTGTTCCAGGCCGCCGTGGGACCCATGCTCCTGGAGGGACGGGCCAAACTCATGGAGCAACACCGCGCGACTCGTTACAAGCTGGCCACGAGAGACGGCAACTTCATTGACTCGGTTTTCGTGGATCGACGGAACAATAATCTGCCGCAAGGCAAAACGTTGGTCCTCTGCTGTGAAGGCAACGCTGGCTTCTACGAAGTCGGCATAATGGCAACCCCGGTCGACGCCCAGTACTCCGTTCTGGGCTGGAACCACCCTGGTTTCGCGGGTAGCACGGTACGTGACCGGATCCCCGTCCGCTATCTGAATTTATAATGCGTAAACTGTGTACAGACTTACGAGCACAGTCAGAACTCTCTGACAGAGAGTAATTATTGACAATAATTTACTCATCTCCACCTTTTCAGGGCGTCCCGTTCCCAGCTCAGGAGCAGAACGCTGTCGACGTCGTCATGCAGTTCGCGATTCACAAACTGAAATTCAAACCGGAGGACATCATCGTATACTCGTGGTCCATCGGAGCGTATACGGCTTCTTGGTGCGCCATGAACTACCCTGACATCAAGGGTCTCATCCTTGATGCAACGTTCGACGACGTAGTTCCTCTGGCGGCATCCAAGATGCCAACCACGATTCGAGGCATCGTCGAACGGACCGTTGCCGACTATTTCAATTTGAATAATGCCGAGCAAGCGAACAAGTACACTGGTCCCATCCTCATGTACAGGCGAACCAACGACGAAGTCATCTCCACGGTAAGGCCTCGAATTCCAGATTCGAGCTCGGAATCCTGACTCCCGATTCCGAGTATTCGAATATCTATTGAGAAACTCCTCGTGCGAGGATGCTGTGTGCAGGCTTCCATTGAGGGATTCCCGCAGTTGGCGGAAAACAAGTTCACTCACTCGGTCTTCCTCTTCTCTCGCAGGATATCAACAATCGATTAGGTTCCAATCGAGCGAACGATCTGCTCACGAAAGTATTGCGACACCGTTTCCCCAAAGTCATCTGCGAAGATACAGCTTGGGTTCTTCGAGAGTGGTTGTCGGGCGACCGATCTCACCAGAAGATTCTTTACGAGGAGCAGCATGTCGACGACGCTGAATGCGAGCGGCTCCTCCAGAAAGCCGTCCAAGACGGTGACACATATCCCATGCAGCTCGGTGCTGGTATGCCGTTCGACCAGCGCGCTCAGCTGCTCCTTTACCTTGCGAAGAGGCACATGTTCGATTTCAACTCCACGCACTGTGTTCCTCTGCCAGTGGCGAAGTTCCAGGAGCCTTGGGACATTCGCAAGGTTGGTTCCGCGCGCGCCGCCCTCGAAGATAGCGTTCCCAGCTCCTCGAGCGAAAGCGATTTTTGTCAAATAGACCGCGACATGTGCGAAGGTGAGAGACGCGCTGCAAGCTCGTCGTTGAGCTCAGACAGTCTCTCTGAATGATTTTCTTTCTCGTTCGTGACCTTGACAACCATGACGATGAAGACGATGATGCTGATAATCACAGCATTTACATCCGTCTCTCTCTCTGTCTCTCTGTATAAAGTAGCCGCGCCGCCGTCAAGCCGAATTTCTATAGACGGAGTGTTCGTTTCTTGTTTCAGCTGGTGAACGCTAAATCAAGTCTGTGAGCTTCTATTCGAGAGCACTCTGTAAATAGACTAGGAACCTGGAAGCGGGAAGCACATACGGAACTTGACAAAGGTGATGCCCGATACTGTTAGCTAGCTCGCTCGCTCGTTTGTTTGTCTGTTCGTTCGCCCGTCCGCTCGTCCATGCATTTGTGCTCCAGTGTCTCAGTCAGCTCGATGTACGCGGGACGGAACGAGGCACGGATTGCCTTGCTTCCTCCGTTCCGAGTCGTATCCTCACCGTTTAGCTCCCCGATACCCTCTCTCACCTAAGAAGCTACTCATCTCACGTGCTTGTCAAAGCGGAAACCTACCCCAAGCCTTAGAGCGACGCTCTGGCGTTCTCGGGACACGGATTTTCGCGTCTGAACCCATTTGCCCTCGGTCGCTTAAGCGGAGTGGACCTCGTCCGCTGTACTAGTGCTTTCCGGGTTGCCCTCATCCCCCGAATAATTATCGAGACGAATATTCCGTGCTTTGCAGAGATTGATACTCAGATATGCTGCGTCGCTGATCGCTTCATGACCGAAAAAACGCAGGAAGGCTTGCGCTATATCGAGGCAATTAAACCACCTGTGGACGGATCAGGGGAGTCCTTCGGAAGCAGACCGGGCGAAAGCGCGGCATGAATCGCGCCCGCCAGGTCTCTCGTATGCTTCCACGATTACAAGAAGGGATCGCTCGTGTTCCTCTTTCGAGAAAACTATCGTTTCCGGAGTCTGTCCACGGATTTCGTACCAGCGAGTATTCAATGTTATACATAAGTACACAAGAACTACATGAACTCCTGAAGCAGTCTACAATTCTTGTATGATGAGCCAAGGTCGGTAATAATTGGAAGGTTGTTCGTCACTCTGCCTGCTACAATTTATTGTCGGGTGAACGGTTAGAGGAACAATGATGAACACCTTCGCAAATCTTAATATATGGAGGCATCGATTATAATAATGATAAATAAATGTTGGAACAGTCACAGCTCTCTGTGGGGAGAGCGTTGTTCGGCTCTGTGGAGCGATCGTGTCTTCGCCTTTTGGGTGTCTTGACGAACCTCGAAACGGAGGAGACGCTTCTGATCGCGGATTAGGATCATTGCTCATGACGTTCGCAGACCAGAGCACTGTGTATGAATTGTGATGCTTTTACTTTACAAGAACTGGTAGGATCAATATTATCGATTAGCAATACGAAATCTGAGAAAAATAAAAAAACTGTATCCCGTCAACTTCCGTCCGTCTTGATGATCGCTCCCGTGTCGGAAGAATTGAATTCCTCCCCTACGAATTCCTTCCCGACGCAGACCTTTTCCCACATGATGTATTTCAGTGTTCCCACCTCAATAGATTGCCTTTCATGATTTCCCGGCCGGATCTGTGGAGTCCGTCGTCACCCGAAAAGCCGTTCCTACGGGAATTCCTCCCGGATGCGATTATTATTATTATTGGTGTGTAACTATCCGCGGATTCTCCTCTTTCCGGAATGAAGGGGGAGACGGCGTCACCTGATCTAGAGAACGCCATCGAGTCATATCCACACTCCACACGTACGATTGCTGAGCGCGAATATTTTGCTCCGACGGGGGAGCTCATCTCACCAGCTCCAAACCGGTAATTGCGAGCGACTAGTTTCCTCATATGAGAATCGCACAGTTCTGCGTATACCTGGCACCGATACATGGATTGATACGGAGACATCCGGTGCTCGGTTTCGGAAGTCCATCGATCTCACTGCCGCAAGGGCGCTCCGTCGACGCGTACGGCGTGATGCGATTGTTCTTCTCCCGGGATGATGGAAACTCCCGACTCGCATTCTGTTGACGTCATCGTTGGCGTACACTCTGCGGAGCAACGAAGAGCCCTGGGAAGATCAAATTTATTTGTTATCCGATGGAGGTCCGCGCCTCCTCGCAAGGCACAGTCGTCGAGATGCGGCATCGATTCTCCTCATTCTCTGAAGAAAGGCTAGCCGTAATCACCTGGAAGCGATCGATGTCGTTATTTTGGGCGATCATTGGGTCATCGGATGCACGGGACCCGGGATGCCTCTACTATCCGAGATATCCACGAACAGAAAACGAGCACCGCGTACGCAACGGACCCGCGTTGGGGCGAAATTCCCCGGCGAATTTCCTGTCCTTCAATGCTGTTCCCAATTCGGAGCGCGAAATTCAATGATCATGGACTCGAGAACACTTCCCAAACATTTTTGCATCCAAGGGAAATTACCCGAATACACTGAGACCAGCAGGAATATGTCTGGGTGACGTTGATGTGATTGATCATGCCTCCGAATTAGCAAATTATACGGACACCGATTTGAGTGACGCTGTGAAAATTGTTGGGAGAGGAATGAGCTGGAGGGTGGCGGTGTTATTATCTGCAGTCTGTACGGAACGTTCCGGAGCAAGAATCATCACGAATAGCTACGAGCCCCGCAACCTCGGAGGGACCGATGAAGTAAGCGTTCTGCATGGAAGAAAATCGCGGCGGAAGCTTCCCCCGTGAGCCGAGATGCAGTTTGACGAGTGGCCGCTGGAGCCATATACGTACATAGCTAGCTGTCATGATCTCGTCCGGCGACGATTGGATAAGGTTCTCTGGCGAACGCCATCCGGACATCCGTCCTGAGACGCCCGAGCGTGTCTCGCCCCGACATGCTCTGCTCATGGAGAAAGATGCGCGAAACATGTCTCCCTGTGCGTAAAGATAAGCCGAAATGGATAGAGCGGGAGTAGCTCTCAATCTTCAGAGAGCATTAGAACTGATCGAAATAGGGCCCAGACGAGTTAACCCTCGTAATTGTTGTGTGGGACAGAATGTTACCGCCCTCGTGACTGGATCGGCTCCGAGAGTTTGGGCCCCGACAGCGATCATTCCGGAAGCTTTCGCCCAGCTTCTAGAGATTCGGTGCTGGATAGTTTTTGTTTCCTGGAGCCGGATTCTGGGAGGAGGGATAGGTCTGATGGGGGCGAAATTCCGTTCCGGAGCTGCGATTCGCACCTCCCTCGATAAGAGATCGGATTGCACTCTCTGTACTGTCACTACCTGATAAGACCATCGCTTTCTTTTGACTATGGAGTCGACATCATTCTGTGATAGGAATGAGATTCTTTTGATGACATCTCTGGCTAATTTTGACATATCCTGCGACTGCTTGACGTTGCGTGTTCCGAACCCCTGACTACCTCACGGTACAAGATCGCGGAGACACGCGAGGGGCAAGGCGTGCGATGGGCGGAGACGAGTTTTCCTATCTGATTCTACAATATGCATTCAATCGCTTCGAAGCTCGCCTCTCGATAATTTTTCCGATACAATAGGCAACTCATTGTATCAAACCAATTTTTCTACGAAGTTCACTCCATTAGAGGCCTGTGATACGGACTCGGGATAGAGGGGGCGGGGGGTTTCCGCGCTAATGGCTCCAGGGCAGCGGGGCCAGTCGCCGTGAGACTCACATGTGATCGAGTACAGTCAGAGCTCCGTCAACCGTCATGCAGCAAGTGATGCTTCCTGATATCACTCTGCCGGGGACAATTCGTGAACGTGTTCCCATATCATTGGGGCGGGGGGGCGAGGTATGACGTCAGAGCAGACGATCGAGCTCCTTCGGTGTAAGATGAGCCAGGCGAGGGTCCTCGAGCAAGATGAGACTCGCTTTCCACATGGCCGTCTGCAGATCGAGAAGAGCGCGCTCGCGGGATACTGGCGGAATCTGATCCAAACTCGCTACGATCGAGCTCTCGCTTTCGATTCCACGCAAAATCACAGCCTGACCGACCCTGCATCGACCTCGACGGAGGAGACCAGGAAGGAATTCCATTAATGAAAGATCGTAAGCAGGAGGCACCAGGCCTAGCGCTTCCGGATACGCCCTGGAAACATTCCGAACTTGTCCGTAGAGCTGCCATCGAACGGGGTCGTTCCGGACCGGTTCCCTCCTATTAGACTAATCGTAAGGGCCCAAAAGGTCTTCACCAAAATGTCTAATGTCATCCGGAGCTCTTCCGCCATTCAGACCGACTGAGACTGACGTATAGCTATGGTACGCTGCGAAATAGCTGGCGCTAGCTTCGAACCGGAGTCGACGCGATTTGTAAGATACTGAAAGAGGGATCGATGGGGGTCGGTAGTGGCGGCGATTGGCTGATCCGCTGTCTTGGAGGCGTGCGACCGAACGATGCAGCGCATTTCCGCACCAGAGAATCTCGAAATCATTTCCCCCTGTGGAGAGCTGCGAGTTCGAAGTCTTGAAGGGCGATGCGAAAATTCGGTGCAGACCCTTATTTCTCCATTGGCTTTACGTGCAACGACTATACTCCGCGAAGCATGGTCGTAGCTCCTGGAACCGCCGGCGCCGGTCGTTGTGGCCTCGGCTTAACATCGGATGTCAACGGGGACGAACGGGGCGGGTCTCCGGAAAATCCGCGTTTTTCCGCGAAGACTCAGCGCAACTCGCGATAGCTCACCATCCCGGTGCAGAAGAAGACCTATCTCCGAGCAGGCGATCCAACTACTCGTTGAGCGCTTCGCGGGACGCGAGTGGGACAAGACTTATGACGAGCTATGACTCTGCGATTGCCGTTACAGATTCTCGCCGACTCAAGATTTCTTGTTCCCGGGAAATGGATTTGCATAGACCGGGAATGCTTGGACGGAGTCTTTGTGTTTCTTCGTACGATTCGGACTCGAGTGATCCGGATTGCATTCAATCGGGCAGACGAGCGTATACGCTCTGTTTCAACGCCTTCTGGGGTGACTGTACACACCTCGTCCAATCAATTCGAGACCTCGTGGATCGCTGATTTCGTGAGATCAGTCTTGGAGAGGAGATCCAACCGTGGTTTCCGGAGGGACCCTCCCAAGCTTGCCGTATGTCCCATGCATCGTCGGCAATGTAGCGGCCCCTTGCCCAGATACTTGCCGGTCCGTGGGCGTTTCGATGACGATTGCCATCCTCGGGAATGTATACTGTTCCCCCTAATAGGGAATAGCCATGGTTCGCAAAATGGACCCCGCCATCGACGTGTATCTAGATGAGGGGTTCCCAGAAGGTGCTCCGCGGATACCTTGGGGTCCCATTGTCCGATTCCAGGACTTCCCTGACCTAATGTCCGCACAACCTCAGGGTTCCTTGATTCCTGTTTTCTGGGGCTGAGCAAGGATGGCCCGGCCTACGACTTTTCGAGTGACCGGAGGTTACGGGTATTATCTCAGCTTTTTCGCGCCGCCTCGGAATTCGGATGTTCTTCCACAAAGCGTGCGGCCAAAGTGTTAGGTCAGCGATCGAGATATCTATCCATTGCTTCGGAATGTCAAAGCGTCAATCCTCGAAACTCTGGGCTCCTTGCAAGGGGTCCCGCAGGAGGGAGAGGCTGGGAGCCACAGCCCTTCCTATCCACGATCTACCATACGGTAGAGAACAATCAGACGATTTTCACGGAGGGAATGAACGATTAATCCAACGGGGCTGTAACTCCAGAAACTCCGTTATGATGAACGAGCTCACGGACGCGGGTTGTAGAGATGAAATATTAGCAACTCATGAGAAGAATACTGTGCTTCGACTTCATGAATGTCACGGGCCCTCGCTTCGAGGACTGTCGGATTTGATTCCCCCAAGGGCTCTGTGGACAAAGCCCCGACAATAACGGTCCTCTCCACCCGGAAGATCTCCGGGTCGATTCTCGAAAGCGTTTCTCTAGCTTCGTACTCGGTCTGTCTGGCACTCACTCAGACGACTCTCGTAGTCTCCTCAAAAACCGCGCCGCGCCAAGCTGGCTATCACCGTTATTCGCCAATATGGCCGCCCGCCCCTGAAGTCGTGTCTGTCCCGTCCGGCTGAAACGGTAGGTATATGATGAACCTCGGAGCCAGCAACTCAGAATCTCTGAGAGGCTCCGATCATCCGGAAGTCGGTAGTGAAAACAAGAGCAAAAGTACGAAGTGTCCTGTGATGGCTTTCCGAGCAGTTGGATGAACGCATTCCCCAGACGGATTGCGCCCAATTGTGAGAGGCCTTGGGCCGAGCGAAGCGACTCGCTGCTGACCGAATTTCCCAGCGATTGATCGGACTGCCCTCTCGACCCGGCGGCGATTCCCCCCATGTGGCTCTGCCCCGCACATCGCTTCCTGCCGCTTCCACTCGTCCTGAATCGGAGAAGTCGAGCTTCATGAAGTTTTCCCGCCGCACATTCGAAATGAAAAAAAGGTGATCAGACAGAGATCATCGTCGCTTTCGTCCGTAGTGGGTATATGTTATTGGTGGTGTGTGGTGGTCTGGTGTGGTGTGTGAACAAGAAGACGCTGCTGCTGCTGCTGTTGTTTTCTGTGTTATGGTGTTGTGTGCTTTTCTTCAGTGGTCGGTCTGTCTATTTGAAACAGCGAACGGAGACGAAAAAGCGGGTCTCAGCTGCTGATATTTTCGTGACGCAGTCGAAAACCTCGAATTCCACCCTGGTTGCAGGACTATGTCCCGTTGAGCAGTAGTCTCCTTGCACGGTTTCGAAAAATGAGCGTTGCCAAATCAGAGAGCCTTTCGAATTCGGAGATCAACGTTTTTGATCTTAACCTGCCTTCATACACATATAAGTGTCAGGCAAGTAATCCTTTGACGGAATCGACGAACTCCGATCGATTGCGGTATCAGCCCTGTTACGCACATCACGTAGGACAAATCCTCACACGATTAGGCCAACTTCCCCCTCGAATGAACTAGCGCCAACGGCGCTTCACAGATTCAAAGTTGTTGAGAAAGTTTTCCTTCGGACACAATTTTCACATGATTGCCAACGCTTTCTCTCGCATTGACGAATTCCAGTCTCGGCGAGGCGCCATCCGTGGAGAGGACTCAGCCGTGATGGTCGTTTGTCTAAATAATTCGAATTTTTTGCGGTCGGGGAACAGCGGCTCCAACTGTTCGAACCACACTCACTTCGATTTTTCGTGGCGATCGCCTCCGTCGAGTCGGAATCGTTCCCGTGCCGCCGAGCGGGTGTTTGAGTATCACGGTTTCCTCTCGTTTTAGGTGTGTCCGTTTTTCGCGAGCGACCAAAATACGGTCTCAAATCACTATCAGGCAGCCCACTGCCAGCCGACATCGACACGGATCATTTCAGTGGGCCCCGTTGAGTGTAAACCTGATCTACTTCATTGTAATCAGTGTAATTACACGACTCAGAAGAAGGGGAATCTGAACGCGCACGTAAATCAGATGCACGTCGCTGATCAACGGCCATATCCATGTCCTCATTGCGATTACCGTGCTAAGACCGAGCGACACCTGCACGCGCACATTCCAACCCACGGCGGTGAAACTCCTCCTTACAAGTGAGTAGTCGGCATTTTCTTCCGGAGCACGGCCCCGCTCCTACTCCGGTTCGTGCCCGGGATTCGGGTCGCTCCTCGGAAGCTGTGTGGTGGCCGGGCAGCATTTGAACCGTCTCCGTACGGCTGACCAGTTTTAATTAATGCAAGAATAAGCAATCCCGAAATTGTGATTTCGTCGAGCTCAAGCGCGGAAGCTCGTGGCCCACTAGAGGCTACCGAGATGGCGATCAGCGTGAAGTCGGCGTCAGTCACCTTAATTTATACGATTTTTTTGAGACGGGCTCTTTTCCGGACTTGTTGTCGTTCGGTGACGGAGGAAAATTGAATGAGACTCTTGTATCCGTTTCAGATGTAATTTCTGCCCCTACGAGACCACTGATCGGTCGGAGCTCGTCCGACACAAACAAGACATCCATGAAAGCGACAAAGTGTTCAGCTGTGAACAGTGCACATACAAGGCGCGTACCAGCGATTACCTCGCTAAACACAAGGTAAGGAAACACAAGTAGTTTAGGAAACTTCTCGAGAGCGAGCCCCGACCACTACCAGAAAATACGCCATAACCCGTCTCTGACTTCATGAATATTTCTTGGTCCGCTATCGGACCAAGCAGAGATATTCCCCTTACTCTCCTGACAGATGAGTGCGGGAGAGGTTGGATCTCGGGTGTACGCTGTAGGGTATAGAACTTAGCTCTCACTTCGGGGCTTCGATCTGCTGGGAGATTTATCCCTCATGAAATCACGGTCTTCCCTATTTCAGGTTACCCAGCACACGCCTCTGGACGAACGTCAATTTCAATGCGCCCATTGTAGCAAACGCTTCGCCATCGAATCGCTATTGAGGCGACATTTGAAAAAGCACCTCGACAACACTCGTCACAACTGTCCACACTGCGGAAATGCCTTCAAAGACATCCGTAGACATCGGTCACGTTGCGCCAAGGCTCCTGAAAAGGACCTCACCAAACCTAAGGAGCCCAAAGAACCCGCGAAAAGCAGACAGCAGCGCAAGCAAGAAGCCGCAGCCGCGATCGCTAATGTCGGCGCGAACGAAGTCGTCGTTCCGCAGATAGTCCAAATGCCATCCATAGACTTGAGCAGTGTACTTTCTCTGCAGGGCAGTCTCAAAGGCGTTAACCTCAATTCGATGATATCCATGAATCAATCTCAACTGCTACTTGGATCGCCACTCGTTTCGACGGTTAGAGTGCTTCCGGTCGATATCGATGGGGTCAGCGTGCAAAGCACGTAAAATCCCTTTGTAATAGTTACATTTCGATGATGAGTGGTAATCCATGTAACAGGGGCCGACTCGATTCTGGATTATCGATACACATACTACATTAAGAGAGCTGCTGAGAAAGCGGATGAAGAATGCCCGACGAGAAAGGAACTACACCAGTCTTACTCACGCCCATATCCATCGTTATTGAGTTTATCCCCATGTATCCTCCGCATGATCTTCTCCCGCTTCCGTTTACGTCGCCGTAGGCAGGAGCACCATGACCCGATTAATTTCGCTTCTCTCCACTCTGCATCCCCGTCCCTGCTATCATCCAAATCCATGATTGCGAATTGGCACGTGTCAAGCGAAATAATAATGTGAGATCTTTTCGACTAAGTTGTTGGTTCGGCTTCTTCCTTGGTTTTCGCCAGATGTCAACTCTACTACGACTACTAGATTTACTAGCACTACTACTGCTACTACGACAAATACTACTACATCAACGACAACGACTACTATAATCATTACTAGACCATTACCACTTGGTTTGACAGATATATCACTATTATTTTACAAAAACATCACCCCGCTCGATTTTATTGCGATTATCGTTCTTTTTGTCATCTCATTTATCTTATCCGCATTATCCATCGAAAACAGCCATTGCTTCTGGAAGTGTATACCGTTACTTGCATTTATTATCGCTACTATAACCGCTATATGGGTCCGCTACCGCATTTTCGATGTGGCTAAGTCCAGTAGTCGATACCGATCGTTATCGTCATTGTTATTGTCATTGCGCGTTTTCTCACTCGCTGAGGACCATAATTTTCCTTCGCTCGGAGCTCCCATCCTTCCTCGCCTTTAACTTCCTTGGTTATCCCAGTCATTCCCATCATCCTCACAATCATGTTCACCGTTTCTCCTGCGATACCCTGTTCGCTGTCACCAAAGCGAGCTATTTCGTCGCATCGAGTTGAGCTTCGCTGCCGATCTGACTTTTCTCGTTCACCTCAAGAGGCAAAGTCATCATGGACGATTAGAATAAACGGGAAAATTATATTTCACGCATAAGGGAGAACAACGGACCCCTGTGTAGTTTCAAGAACAGAGATTTCAACGATTACGATATCTAGTTATAATTGGTTTAGCTGTGTAAATAAGGTAGCTGCTGCTAAGTTCTCTACCCAACGCAACCAGCCGAACTTGCAGAGAGAACGAATCATGAGAGCGACCGATTGACATCCATCACCTGATTCTCGCGCCACCCGACCACAATCCCTTCCCATCTCTTCATTAAGATTCTTGATCGGATCGATGCCTTCTGACGGTAATTGTACAATATTCTATGTATAAAGTAGGAAGACTGTGGCAATAAATATCTATATTTAAAAATTGAACGTATCACCGTCGCTACATCCGGAGACGTCGAACTCGGGCTCGTCCGGCTCGAGGGAACTTCGCCTCATTTTATTCATCTCGGCCCCGCATTATACGCGACAGCGACCATGGGTTCAAGAGACGAATCTTCAGCATTTCAATTCCATTTTATTTGACTGACTTTGAGGAGTAGATGCTCTTCGAAGCTTACAATAGAGGCCAACTACAATATATATTGCGCGGCTGGTCTGAGAACTTCACCAGACGACATGATTGTGTTTGTATATATATCCAATAAGTGTAGCATGATCGTGTACTTTACAACAACGTATGGCACGCTGGATCATCCCATCCTCTTTAGCTGCCATCGTCAGGAGTCATGGGTATGCCCTCAGGAACTCGCATCTCCTCATACGCTTACAGTCTCAGTCTCACGCATAAACTGTGATACGGTGCCTTTGAACACGACGTGACCTTCTTGCGAGTTTGATACGCTCCCGGCACGTTTGTTCCTGGCTCGCGGTTCATAAGTATCTAACATACCTTTGGACACGCCTGGGGTCCGACAAAGGCCCGTACCAAATCCGGGCTTATAGATTTTCTCCAAAGGAGCTCTGACCACAGCTCGAGAACTCAAAAGGATGATAGGAAGAACTTTACATGAATGTGACTTTGAGTTTCGGGTCGACCACCCTTATCCTAGACCTACAGCGACAGATCCATCGAAATATAAATTATTATTCATTAGGTGCGGATCGCCGCTGCATACCTAACAATATGAATAGGGCTTTCTCGGCGAGTCTCGCCAAATTGAATTATGACAAGCAATCGAGAAATTCGCTTGACGAACGGCTTGAAGCGATCCCGTCATTTCGCGCCGGAATGCGATATATGGCGACTCCTAAGGGCGGACGACTAACCCAATCCAGAAGGTTACCCCTCTCGATTGAGCCGTATGGTCGCTCTCTGACTCCGCGATCCCAGCTTTATAACCTCAGACGTTCAGCAGCCCATCCGTCCTGGGAAGTCGTCCGATCTGCCGAGTCTGACCGAAATCGGCTAATACTCACGTTCAATCATCGATCCATCATTCAAGAGGTGAAGAAGTATGCAAATGTGTTGCGTCGTGTTGTATGATATTCACGCGTCGACGGACACGAAGATGACTCTAGATTCTTAACTATCTCCGAGGAATACCAACTTGTAATGTACCGGGTCTCCATGTGACACAAATGGACCTCTGCGCCGATATACCTGAGGCTTCCCGGGGGGAAAAAAAGTTCCCCTGTCGGAGCGCGAACCACCCTAAAGAAGGGGACTTGGTGTCGCCCCAACTTCGAGAAAATCCCACCCGATAGGGGCTCGTTCGTCGAGGGCAGAATATCACGGTACAGCGAGTTCATGATATGCAACAAAAAGGTGAATTGACGTCAGAGGCGACTTATTGCAGCAAATGCACAATGGTTCCATCGATAACTACCGTAACAAGGAGAACAAGGACGGCGACGGCGGAGAGGAGAACTACAACTTCGCCGATGCTCATTCACAGTATGTTTGCTGTACATTGGAGGATGTACTTTCAAGCGAAGTCGATGCTGTTCATCGGTAAGTAGGATTCGAACGCGAGCGGACTCGTCTGCGATGTCACGTAGATTTTCGCGGTCCGCTTGGAGCGCAACTCGCAGAGGCGAACAATGAGTGACCGGTTTATCATCGTTTCGTCAGCAGCCCAGTCCCCCGGTTTGAGATGACTGATTTGATCGACACAGTCTGCGAAAATAAAACATCAGACGCAAGGGTGAGATCCAGTTCGGCACCGACTTCCAGGAATACGCGGCTCAGATTTGCTGATCGGCACTTTGGAAAGCCATTCCCGCTATCGGTTCACGTTCAGCATTCCCGGGCGCCTCCCGTACTCCTCCGCAAAGTATCAATCGCATCGATGCATCGATATAGAGGGCTCACCGACTTGAGCAAACAGTAACGGCCCTCATGAATGAGTCCGTTGCGGAAATCATGGCTGATTAAATGAAAGACTATTACTCACCGAGTATGGCTTGATGTGTGATTGGGCAGAGGCCAGGTCTATCTGGAGATCCCTTGACGCTCCGTTCCATGAGAGTCTGATCATTGAAAACGCACACCAACAGCCTCCTGGCGGCAGAGACCGCATTCTTCGACCGATGGAATACGTTCACGAGATCCGCGATTTTTATGTAGACACCGGATTTCAACGCAAGCTCCATTACCTGCAGCCGAGAAATATTTTATAATTCCCGATGACCGGGGGTGGGGAGATGGGGCTCGAGAAATTGATTGGATCTATTTCAAGCGAATGTATCGACTCGCAAGCTCGGGGAAATTCACCTCAGGATCCTCCGGACTCCATCGAAGCTGCTTCGGATCCGCTTTCGCTTGCCCATCGTCGTCGATGTAATAACTTTTGCTCCGTGTAAATTTGTGTTGTACAATGAACGCCTGGTTATTGTTGACGAAGTCTGCGGGCACAGAGACTGGCTTCAGCGACCTAATCCAATGTTCCGCCGTCTATCAAATGAAAATCGTGTTTGCACTCGATAAGCGAGAGGATGAACAAGAGTCAGTAATAGACGCAGAGTCATTCGAGCATGGACTTTATTGGGTTTGCTCTGGCAACATATGAATTCCAGGTGACGCCCAAGAGCCTGTCACTTGTTTGAGTACCCGTCCTTCTCGTTATGCTACGGGAGATGAACGGCTTCGAGATTCTCCCACAACGGCTTGCGCCGGGTCTACCTGGAAGCAGAAGACGGGTAGACATAATGCTGATTCGATTCTGACATACACCTCGAATTCTTCGCGGAATCGGAGATAGGTTTTATCGCCGCGGACAAGTCGACAATGTTCGTCCCATTAGAAGCTATCAAGCTTCCGATTTCGATTGCATTGACTTTCGATGGTCCGGATCTGGACCGGCTGACCGTTCACGACAGGAGCTTCCAGATCTCCGGAGGAGGTCCTTGGTCGCGACGGGGACCCTGAGCGGGACCGCGGGAAAGAAAAGGTCACGGTGGAGTCGTCAAACTTAGATCGCGACCTAGGCGACAACTTCTATTGCGCCATCATTGATAATATCAATTTAGATCGTGCGAGCGACCGGAGAAAACGTTGAGGTCGGGACCTAGGAGCTGTCAGATGAACTTGCTCTTGAGGCTCCTCAGCGGACTACTCACAAATACAGTGGATGAGCGGTGAGCACGGGAGCTCAAGAGAATTAGGCGACATGAAGTTAGTGGGGAAATGCGAACCTAGCACCACCGATACGAACCTACGCAGCCTAAAACGAAGTCACGCGCTTTATACGTTTAAACGTTGAATTCATACGTTGATAAAAAACGCGACACAGATCACAGTACGGCGTAAGTGATTATCCGCGACAATAGAGAACCCACCCTCCACACAGAGTTTTCAGTAGCAGCAGCAACGGCCTCCGCTTGCATCACAGAGCGCAAGAACACGACGCACTTGTCAGATAACGGGAGAGATAAAAAAGAGAGCGCCTCCCCAATCGCCACTCTCAACGTGTCCTGACAAATAGACAGATCGAAAGACAGACGGACGGACGGACGGACTGACTGACTGACTGACTGACTGACTGACGAACCGACGAACGAGGGTACGCCGCCCGATTCTGACTCAGCGCGGATCGTCGTTCAACCCTTTTCACGCCCGACCGCGATGTGCGCAATCTCGCTGCAGCGGCATGCTCGCACACTCCTCTGACCCCGAGCTTGGGGCTGGTCCGCGCGGAAATTTTCAGGGTCCTCTAGACTCCCTGATAGAAACAGAGAACTCTCCACTGAAGCGAAGAACCTGCTGCGGAACTCGGTTCTAGATGAAGCACAGTTGACTCATGGGCTCGTTCGACGTATTCCGACGGAGTTCTCACTCGCGAGCACTTGTCACATGAGAGCCACAAGTTAGTGGCGCGATCTCGCACAACTTCAAATGCAGATCCTCCGCGAATTTTCTTCAGCGGTACTCATCATGGAGAGTTCCGACCGAATTCAGTTCCGCCGCATGTGCGTGTAATGCAGTGGTGCAGGGGTGCGGCCCAACATTCGGGGGCCCCAGAGCGTGAGGCACCGTCTTTCTCCGGCCTCTCCCGGCTACCAGAGCGAGCACTCATTCAGAAGCTGCCAGTTCCGAGACCCGAGGCTTGTTTCCGAGCAAAGTTCTCCAGATGACAGAGCGTCCTTGGAGAAGTGAACGACGCGGAGATAGAGTTGAGGAACCGCTCACGTTACGCTGGATGGAATTATCTTAATACGAACTGTAAACATTTCTATGATGATGCGAATGATGATGAAACGTCAAATGATCTCTGCCGCTCACGAAAAATCACACCGGGCGCTCCGCTCCCGAGACGGAGCTCCGCATAGGGGAGCGGTCGCGACGTTTCGCTTGAGGGGAGGACAACTCGACCTCGACTTCCTCTTCGAACTCTCGAGGAAGTCTGGAAAGGCTCCGAGGACCAGGTGGCCCGATGGTTGATCGTCTTCGGACAGTCCGGCTCCACGAGCCAGATCCACCAGCTGGAATGTTGAGCTTGAAGATCGCAGCAAGGGCTTACACATCGGCTAAGAGTGTTCTCAACGTAGGTACGACGAGATGCGCCTCATTGGCTCGTTTCTCGTTCGAAGGATGGGACCGAGTGTCCGGGATTCAGCTCTAGACTGGTCCCGAAGTTCAGTCTTCCGAAAAAGATCATGACTGACAGAATATGAACTCAGGGAGGAATTGGACCGATCGGAGAGCCATCATTCGACGGGAGATATTTGTGAGAATACCGTGATCGTGGACGTTTCAAGCCCCCAAAACTCCTCTGCAGAGGCCGCCAGCTTCGAAGGAAAAAGATTTGAGCTTCGCCTCAGTGAAGAAATGCGCCGGCCGCTGATCAATTATAAACCGACACCAAGCACTCGGAAAACAGGCGTTCCGCTGGTACCTATCCTTCAGACGAGTGACAAATCCTCGAGCTCGTGGGGACCGCGGGTCCGGACTGACAAAAGCAACGCAACTTTGATAACGGACATGGAAGCTGCCAGATTCTAGACATTGAGAACTCTAGAGCAGGTCTACATCTTTCTTCCATCCGCACACCCCTTGGAGCGGGCGGACCGATTTGTGCACCCCCTGATACTTCGGCCGGAGAAATTAGGGTACTGCCCACCGATGGGAATCGCAAGGTATTCAGAAGAGCTTCACGAACTATATCACGATCTTTGCACTTATGACATCGTGCATAGGGTTGCTCCTTGAGCTCGATAGGATAACTGTATCGAATTAGATCGCACAAACAGCGAAGTTAAGGCTTGATCGTCGTGAATTCCGAAGGTCGCCTCATTCGCAGTCCGGAGAGCGGAGAACGAAAAACGTGAAGCGTGGGCACCCAAAGTGTCCGATGCCGGACCAAACAGCCAAAGTTTGACGTCCCGAGAATGGCTTCTCACCTCACATTGCTCCACATTGCTCCTCACATTTCCCTCAAGAAATTCCGTAAGAAATATACTGCCGGCTGCTGGGAGCGAAGTCAAGCCACCTCCCGCGAGTCACGAGTGGGGAGTACACGCTTCTCGAAGTCCCTCTGCTGGGTGGATGATTGGTCGAGTGCTCATGAATTTCGAGAGAGGACGCACAAGAGCTGGGAAAGGCATGGAAAAATCATTTTGAGATTCGCGGGTTGGAGAGACAGGGAGCAAAATGTGAGGCCTTGCCATCTTCAGTCACTCACGAAGCACTCATCGATGATAATCATTTGAACCAGTCCCAGGATATTCACGATCATCATTTGAGCATGCTTCGATTTCAAAGATCATCATTCGGGCATGCTTCGATCTCAAAGATCATCCTTTGGCCCAGATTCCCTTCGCAAGTCTCAAGGTCATCATTGCTCATTCGATCATTTCTGATTCCTCGCGGAAGACACGTGAAATTCGCACCCCTATTCCGCCATAACTCTCATTCCATTCGACTCCGCATCAATCATTTGTAGTGGCGGACCGGAGGTGCACGCCTAAATGTCGAGCGATCAAAAACACGTGGTCGATGGCGCTTGGGATGCCTGCCTATGTATCTCTCGTCGACGTTGCACAGAGGTCAGGAGACAGAGCGAAGTCGCCAGAAACATTCCCGAGCTCACTATTTCCATGAGCCAGTCGCTCTCCTTTCGTATTGGATTCGTCTTGAGAAGAACTCGCAAAAACCTCACTTGGCTTTCCCTAAGCGTTTGTACGGTTTGCTAGAGGAGGAGCGCAGCCACAGAGCACAGAAACGCCTCGAAACCGGTCCCGGAGATCGCAGAAGTATCCCGTTCCCAAATGACCGGATGAACGCAAATTAACCTGAGGAGCCAGAATAGCTCCCGGCAGCCAGGTATGGCTCGACGAGCCACGAGCGTCAATTGAGCCTCCTTCAATACTTCCTCAAGTCGCCGCTCAATACTTCGCATAATTTCTCACAGGGAAGAATCCTAGCTCCGAGTCTCATGGGAAACCTCAAGCGCAACGGAACGATCCGAATTCCGGAATCGAGATATGGAACTCTAGCGGAATCGAGATATTTAGGTCTTGTGGGACATCGAAGGACCGATCATGAGCCCTGTCTCATTAAGTAAGTCATTCATTCGAGCTATTATTATATTCCTAACCAGCGTTCCCGGTGCCCGCTCCGCGGCGGCTCGGTAGCGCTAGACTCTCTGCACATGCGCCTGCTCCGGGTGCGCTTGCTCTGGACGCGCTCGCTCTGGAGGCGCGTACCGTTCTACCGTTTCCCCGCTTTCCCGTTCCCTCGCTTTCCCGTTCCCTCGCTTTCCCGTTCCCTCGCTTTCCCGTTCCCCCGCTTTCCCGTTCCCCCGCTTTCCCGTTCGTCCCGCTTTCCCGTTCGCCCGCTTTCCCGTTACCTAACTTTTATTCCGTATGTTCTCCGGAAAATCTATACCCTTCACGGCTACAGCAACTTTCATCGAGATTCATTGGTAGAAATAGGAAGGCCAGTGATGACGGCAGTCTTCAATTTTTTTCTTAGTTTTCGAATTTCTTGGCGAATTTTTTTATGGTGGGGGACCAATCACATGAGGACGGCGACCCTGATATGACCTTCCTGGAGCTCCCGAGAACCCACCCCTGAATTTTCACGGCGATCGGTTCGAGCGTTCGGGACAGACAGACAGATATTCTTAGATACCGAAGGGTAGTCCCCAGTAAACGGGCAGTCTCTAATAAACGGGCAGGTTCGGGAGGACCGAAGAAATAGACGGGCAGTCTCCAATACACGGGCAGTCTCCAATAAACGGGCGCCTTCGGGGGCAGAAATTCAGGTGCCCAAGTCGCGGAAAAAGTGAACCTTCTCTCGAAGCTTGCGTATATGAAGATCTAGCATGGTCTAGGCATTTATTTGACGGTTTGAGTATTGTTATGGCTACATGAGCAACCTGGTCCTATTCTCTTGTCGGGGGATAGAAGAAATAGACGGGCAGTCTGCAATAGACGGGGAGCCCCTAATAGACGGGCAGGTTTCGGAGGGGTCGAAAAATAGACGGGCATGCCCTTCAATTAGAATATTTACGGTATATAGATATAGACTAGCGTTCCTGGTCCCCGCTTCGCACCGACTCGGTAGCGCTAGACTCTCTACACATGCGCTGGCTCCGGGTGTGCTTGCGGTTAAGGGAAAGGTCGAATATTAGGGAAGGGGGGGGGCGGCGTGCTCTGGATGCGCCTCCCAATCTACCGCTTTCCTCGCTTCCCCGTGGAAGCAGTC